AAAAAAAAAAAAAAGAATCTTCTTTTGCCAGATCACAATCATCTCATTTAAAACTTAATATCATATATAGATTCTTTTAACTTTACACCTAAGGAAATTGATTTATAGACTGATTGTTGAATCCCAAGTTTTAGAGTCTAGGTTAAAGGGTATCGGTAAGTTGATGGGCAGTGGATAAAACCATTGTTTTAAGTTTTTTTTTTTCTCTTGAAGTGTATAATACTTAAATTCCTGTTGAGAACAGGAATAATTTGATAAATGGGGATTTGAGTCTGTTTATCTATGGAGTATTAGTCTCCTCTCCGTTTTCACCTTCTGAACTATTATGCCCATTATGTATATTTACTTTATCATCTGAACCATGTTCTCCAGTTCAGTTGACTTCTTGCCCACTCTCTTGGGACTTGATGCCTTATAGAAGTGTTTAGTGTAGAGCTGAAGTGAATGTTGTATATAAATCTTTTGCTCCTTGGAGGAGTTGTAGAGGTCTAGAGTGTACCAAAAACACTCACCACCATATATATATGTGTGTGTGTATTATTTTTTTTTTTTCCTTTTTTTGTTTTTTTTTGAGACAGGGTCTTACTATGTAGCTGGTAACCTGAACTTCGGGGTGATCCTCCTGCCTCAGCCTCTCAAGTGCTAGGATTACATGCACGTGCCACCACTTCTGGCTATACCTATATTTTTTGTGTGACTTCAATGCATACTTTTTTATTTGCATGTGCTTACATTCCTACCCATGGGTTCTGTTAACACAGCATCTATTCCAGTTTAAGTGGCCTAGAAACTATATTTCATTGTTTGAATATAAATTTATAAGGTACCATGCTATGTTTGCTTTTTAAACTCTAGAAAAAAGTTTGGTTTTGTTTCTTTGAGTCAAGGTCTTGCTAAATATTCTAGGCTGGCTCGCTGGCCTGGAACTCACTGGGTAGCCAAGGTTGGCCTCAAATTTGTGGTGATCCTCTTGTCTCCACCTTCTAAGTGCTGGATTAGAAAGGTGTGCCACCAGGCCCAGCTCTAAACTAGAGAATTTTAAGATAGGCTTTTCTGTGATCCTTTTTTTTTTTTGCTAGTTGAACCTGGTTTGAAGAAATTTGGGACATTAGAACAGTCTTTACCTTTCAAAAAGTGGTGTATTTAAATCCTTTCATAATATTTTTGGGTTAAAATTTCATTCTCAGAAAATGTTGGTTCTTTTGGCATAAAATGCACTCATGATATATTTGTTTTAGCAGATCAGATAAATTACTTTATATTTTTATTTCTGCTGTGGTCAGAAATGTTGGCTCTTAACTAATGTATTACTTGACAAGAATTCAAATTCCCAATCAGGTTAGCTTTCTTTCAGTTTGATAGGTCTCCCACCACCTCAGCAGCTATTATGTATAGTAGCTGCCCTCTTCCTATGGTGCCTTGCCCCTTCCCCTGTGTGATGTCATGCCAAGATGATTGCTCCCACCAAAGAACAAACTCTTCTTCCCACCATGCCCGTTCCCACCTAGAGAGTAACCTAATACTCGCTCACCTC